GGACTTGGCTAGGGTGGGAGGCAAATTGCAACGACTGGGAGATGAAGAGTGAAAGACAGAGGCGAGGGACGAGAAGAGAAAGCCGGGAGTGGTTGTTCAAGTATCGGAGGCCGTAACAGAAGAAAGGAACGAGGGTTACTGACTGGAAATGAACTGGAAACATGGGCAAGGTTTATTGAGGAGCTGTGTCGATTTTAAATCCAGCAAGAATTTCGATGCTGAGAGGAAGTTAGTAAGCTTAGACAAAACATCCAGAAAATCACCTAGATACAAGACTCTCGCAACTCGAATCCGGATGCAAAGACGAGTACATATTATGCGACTGAGGCAAGGCGAGTTTTAGTAACTGCCTCGTAAAAACAATATAATTTCTTCCTGCATCTTCTCCTATATATTAAAACAGATCTTGTCCTCTCCCACAATATCTCTCCCCCTCATCAGTCACATTCGTTTATTTAACATATGTCGCAATTCTTGTCAATTTTTTTATTAGAGTGTTTGTCCATTATCAACCTACGAATGAATTGTGTTCCACTTGACCTATTGATTCGTTGTAATCTGTTGATTACTTGAAAAATAACAGAAGTTTTAAATCAAAACTTATTTCTTGTCATAAGTACTAGTTAATAACTTACTGGGATGGTGAAATTCACAAGCAAACGACCCAACGCGTCGCCGCAGTTGAACAGCAAGAAGCAAGCAACTGATGTGAAATAATCTGAAACTTTTTTTTCAGATTAGAAGTTGACAATCATCACAAGGCACCATTGATCTAATCCACCTTCTCAATCTACAAATAGTACCTACATAAATCTACAAAAGGCATTTTGAAGACAAATAAAATACTTTCCACTAATAATTTTCGGATTTCTGAGCGGCACTTGCAACCTGCCATATTCTTCTCTGGGACATAACGCCGAAACTCAACTGCTGCACCAAATTTACCATACAGCAAGCAGTACAAGTGTAAATGTTACAGCTTGTTTAACAGACTTATTTTCTCATCATTACATTAAAAAATTTCAAAGACACTCACTTCTCCAAATAACATTTTTCGCTGTTGTTTCGACCAAAGAAGATAACGCCGGAAAAGCGGCCAACGTGCCGAAAAATACAAGAAAACCAGCAAAGCATTCGCGTCTTGTCTGGAATGTGTCTACTTTTAATGCAATTCGACAAACACACGAAAACCAGTTAGCAGCGAAGTGACAGTGATTTCAGTAATTTCTCATATGAACAAAATGTGGCTTTAATTTTATTAAATAGCTTAAAGAAACAATGAAATGCTTTGAAAAAGTGGAATTGCGTTGATCAAAACCGTGAGCATGTTCAAATTTTCTGTGCTATCACTGGCAGATTTTTGCCTTACCCTTTCAAGGGTGTCTGAATAAAATTATAAACCAGATTTTTGCTTGCGAAGTTTTAAAGTATGAAAAGTTGCCTGTGCATGCGGAGGATGAAATGCAGAGATACAATCATATCGACACATTTGGTTGATATATTAGCACTACTAGCTTCCCAAATGTTTAGTTTCTAACTTTCAACAAAATTTATTACATAATAATAATTAGCGCAACAAGCCTTTGACAAGTCCCAACTGTGCCGTTGAGTTAAGACGTATACAGCTTAATGGACCGAAATGTTTTAATTTTGGCTAAATTACTGATTGCTACACATACTAAAGTTTCCTTAATATGTTAAATTTACCATTGTCAACTGTTTACTTGTAGAAGAGCGTTAAGTTGCCTTAGGCTAATAATTTACTGCCATTGTATGATTATTTCCATCCATTCTCATTTCCATTATTTTTTGTATAGTGTTGTACTTACTGCCTAATTTAATTGCGCGCTGTGGGGAAGATGCTTCCACCGCTAACAAATTAGCGAAAAAAGAAGCATACCTCGTTCCAAACTCGTACAGTGTCATTCCACAGAGAACGATTATCAGCAGATCGTAAATGCAAAATTTCATCTGGTTCTACTTCATTTTCGATATCATCTGAAAAATATTAAATGTAATTTGTGAGTACCGCCACAGCTGCGGTAATAACGACCAGTACGAATTTGCTTAAT